GACTGCTCAGAACATGCTCTAACTTTTAATATGGCAGAGTAATGTTTACTACAATCTAAATAAAACACATGCTAAGCATCTTGTGTGACCAGGCCCTTACTAATGCTTCAGTAAATCAGGACTTAGAGCTCTCAGCAGGTGGCTAGCCTTTTCAACTCCCAGTGAAGTGAAATCAGCAGAGAATACTCTATTCAGTACTTAGTAAGGCACTGTGCGATTAGGCTTCCAAGAAGCAAACCAAGTAGATATACCCTTATAGAAATATCTCCTAAGGAACAAACAATATACATGCAGGGGGAGATCCAGAGGGGTTGCAGTTGCACCACCCTCTTTGATTGCTGGTCCAGCCAAAATTTAAAACCAACTGCCTGACAGTGGCAGCAGCATTTCTATTCAGCCAGCACTGAAGGAGTCACTTGACTTCATGGTTCATTATAATCTACCTGATTCCTTTTAAACTCTTTATTCCATAGGTGCTAACAACCTTCTCCTTTTTTAGTAGTCTTGATGTTCCAATATTCTTGCTTCTGCAATTCTCCTGTCTCCTAGCTGCTCTTGATAACATAGCTCCTATTTCACAGGCTTGCAGACTGTTTTTAACTCTACCTAAAAACATTAACTCAGGTGTGGAAATAACTTTCAGTGAAGCATGGATGCAGTGTCAAGTTACTCAATGCTATTTAGTTTTATGAATCTGGAAGAGATGTACATTTAATTCTAATTAAAACAGGACAAAAGAAAAAACAATCTTCTGATTATTTTCACCTAGTTTGTTGCATTTTTATACATAATGTATGATATAGGAATTAATGCACATTCCAGTAAAGTGACATTTGTTTTTGCTTCAATGTTAAACCAAATAATAAGACCCTAGGCCCTTAGCATGTTAGAAAAGCTTCTAGTTTCTTTTTACCTAGAGAAAAATGCATGTTGTTATATAATGATGCCACCCACACATGCCTTTTCGAAATCCTCAATCCACCAATGTATACACAAGCGCTATCAGAACAAGGACTGGTATAAGAAAGAGTGAAATCGCCTCTAGGGACCATTTTACCAAAGCAGCCTTGCACTACCATTGGCCCACATCTTATAGTCTATTTAAGATGGGTAAAACACAGCCCTGATAAATGCTATTCCAACTATCAAGCCAGCTGCTTGGATATTAACATAATTGAAGCACAAGAGTTGAGCAGTATGTACCACAACATGGCTGGGGGACCACTCTCCTAGTTGCTCCTTGAAGAAACAGCACTAAGTAAATTTATGCAAAATGAAAAAGGCTGCTCTCATTGAATTGCTATCAGTCACCTGTACATCAGCCTGCAAGATGGTGTACAAAAAGGTGAAAGTAGGAAGGACAGTGACACAAACCATAAACAGTCACACAATTGTATGCAAACAGCAGCAGCAAGACTATTATGTTCATATTGCTTTGTCTGAAACTGTTTTAAAACTCAGGTCTTTCTGAAAAAGACTTGGGAAAACCTGAAGAAATCCCAGTCTCTCTTAGTCAATGGTAGTAAGCCCAATGGCACTGAGCTGCAAGAGAAAGTATGCAGGTTACCTGTTAGAGCCTGTGTAATTTAAAAGGAACAAAAAAGACAGCAGGTTAAGTATGGCACACAAAAGAAATGGCATGCGTGTATAATAAAGTACAGAAAAAATCATGGAAACAAACTGCTTGGAAGTACTGCACAACTTAGTTTAACATGTTAATTCTCAATTGCATCCAAACAAACACTCCTCTCTTGCGAACAATACATTTTATCTGTATGATCATATTGCTCTGGGGTAAGTGTCAACGGGTATGGTGATGGGAAAGA